ATGGCTCCGGTATCGCCGATTAACCGTAAGTTCCAGAAATCTATTTTTACACAACCCAAAACTTTAAACGCGTTTTTCTCGAAACGGTGTTTTCCAAATTGGCGGAAAAGATAACTCAAAAAGTTCTCATCCAAATGACTTGAAACCTGGCGCATCTTAAAGGAAATAGATTTTTCCTCTATGTGGATCACTGAATTAACAATAAATGATTTTCAGGTCTGCCTAAAGTAGAAAAAAAAAACAGTGAAAAATAATTTTTTCAAAATCAAATTTTTCAGATACTTTTTCTAAATTTTTAAATCGTTTTTTTTTTGGTTTTATAGGTTCTTATAGAACAAAAATCTTTTCTGAATTAGGTCCAATTGATAAAAGTAAGTTTTGTCCATTTTTCAGGTCTGTAGAACGCCCACCAATTACAAATCCCCACCGGAGGCGACCTCCTTCCGATGTGACCCCAAGAAGCCACAAAGGACGCATTTCGCGCCAAATCGAATCGAAGCTGGCAGCACCCTCTCAGATTTCAATAAAATTTTCGGGATGTGTAGACTTTGACTAAATAAGGACTTTTACATACTCAGTTTTCCAAAATTTATCTAGACTAATATTTGAGAAGGGCTTAACTTTTTCTGCCGATTTTTTCCAAAAAAAATATTATAGAAAAATGACAACTCCAACAAAAATATGCTGTATAGATGACTTTTAGCAAATTGTCCAAGTTATCGAAAAAAAATAATGGAAAAAATTTTATTTGAGATCTACACTGAGAAAAATCGATTTTTAAAATTTAAAGTCGATTTAAAAAAAATTGTTGAATGAAGTGGTAGGTATATAATGTTAATGGTTTAGGTATAAATAACAGAAGGGCATATAAAATTATGATGCAATACGTTGGCTTCCCAAATTGTTGTTGATTCGAAAGAAGATCTCAATTTAAATTTTATTCATACCTAATTCTTTATAAATAATTTGAGCTAAGAATTCTAAGTTGCTATAGGTGTATCGGATTTTGCCTCAGTAGTAGACAATATAATCAATTATATTATTTTATAATGATATAAGCCCTTTTCATATGGAATTCTCAATCAATCCAAGTGATTAGTTGGTGATTAGACAAAATTTAATCACAAATGGAGCTTCATTGGGTTCTGAGATGATGTTGAGCTTCACTGGTTTAGTTTTGTGTAAAAATGGTACGTTAAAAAAATCAGTTCAGAGATGAAAAAGTTTTTGTAAGAAAAACTTTTTTTCCTTAAAAGTGCCCATCTCGCGATGTATGGACGGTTAGTAGTAAACATAATTACCTATCTTGAGACAAAGTTTCATCCAAATCAAACATGGCCATTTTTTTAAATCTACTTTAAATTTTAAAAAACCGATTTTTTCAGTGCAAGTCTCAAATGAAATTTTTTCCAGTATTTTTTTTTCGATAACTTGGACTATTTGCTAAAAGTCATCCATACATCACATTTTTGTAGGAGTTGTCATTTTTCCATAATATTTTTTTGAAAAAAATCAGCAAAAAAAGTTTGGCCCTTCTCAAATATTAGTGTAGATAAATTTTGGAAAAACTAAGTATGCAAAGTGGCATATTTAGTCAAGGTCCACACATCCAGAAAGTTTCATTGAAATCTGAGAGGGTGCTGCCAGCTCCGAATACGATTTGGCGCGAAATGCGTCAGAGGTTACACACCAATGAAAAAAATCTCAAATGTAAAAGAAGATTTAAGCAATTTAATGCAAAAAACCCCAAACGTTTGCGTTGTTTCATTTGCCCACAAAAAAAAAATCCGAAAATCATCGAGTTATTGACGTGTTACTTGTATTTACAACTCACCCCCCCCCCTCCCCCTAATATGATTTTATATACGAGTTGCAGAGTCGTTACAGAGGCGAATTTTGAAACGCTTTTGATTGTTTAGGTCAAATATGGTTAGGTATGCTAAACGATTCACATAGCATTTATTCGCTTATTATGAAAGTTTAAATTCAGACAGAACTGAGCTCCTGACATCCTGGCACACAATAATAGCTTTTCCATTACTAATTCTAGGTTTGTTTCAGCAGAAATGCTAGTTTAAATACTGAACTCGAGGGGCACGCACTACCCGAGCAAAGTCCAGCATCAAAATGACAGCAAATTGAAATCTAGTTTTGATATCAACATCAAACTGAAATCCTAATTTGATTTCAGTTTATGCAATTGATAAATTTCTTTTTCATTTTGCTGTACATTTGCTCTTCAGGAATATGTTGTTGCGGGTTTGTTTTCATTGCCTTAGCATAACATCAAATTTATTACTTGTTTTGTTATCAACAGGAAAAATTGATATCAAATTGAGTTTACAGTTTGCTCTCATTGATAGCAGAAATAGTTTTCAATGTGATGTCACAGGAAGATTTTTTGCTCTCAATTTTGATATTTTAACCGTTAAAACGACCAAAACGACAGCAACCTGAGTAATCATTATCAGCGAAATCACAACATCAAATTTGGATTTCAATTTGATCTTAGACTTTGTTCGGGTAGTCTTTCAATACTACACAGCCTGCTGATCTTATATTTTAAATCTTTCCATTACTGCATTAAATACTTTAAATACACTCTTAATTTCAATAAATACTTTAATTTCTCACAAAATTTTATGTTTAAACTATTTTCAGTATAGTTAAATTATTTTTTCATTACATAAATTACCGTTAATGTTTTGTTAACTACTTCCAATATCGGTTAACGTATTTAAAGTCAAATTATTACTTCCTTCAAAGTATTTAAATTACTGCGATGTATTTTAAATATCACGCACTAATATCTGGAAGAGTGCGCCCCTCGACTGAACTAGCAATGCTGCTTATCAAATTAATGAATTGAAAACAGGAAAGCTATGACAAATCTCATCGTGCGTTTTGTTTCGGGTGCATTTTGGACTGTCTTCCCCTGCTAGCACTAGTTGTTTTTCTCATACCACCGCAAATCCAGTCCCATATATCCCATATAGTCCCGTATACGTTTCTGTCTGAAAACAGATGAATATTACCTCTCACCTCAGCAGGCCTGGGTTAAATTCCAGTCAGTGCCGCCGGGATGTTCTGAGGCATAACAACTCTGATCACAAATTATCATGGCTGCTTTTCTCGAGAGAATTGCTTTGCTTTATCTTTTCATCATCGCGTGAAAAGTGCCGCTTCTCTTCTCACATCAGCGATAATTTCGATCTCTGAATAGCATCAACAACGATCGGAAAATGCTGCATTCGCGCTTGATTCTTCAAAACTGAATCTTCAATGCCTTCAATGATGTACTCCACAAGTTCTCTTTTAGATAATTTCATCTTCTGGGCCAGAATCCGGTTTTGATTGGCAATACTCGGCAAAAGATTCACCTCTTGCAGATCAGATGTTCTTCTCCATACGTCTGCCGTAGATCGAGCGTATTCACAGGTATAGCGAACATCTCCTTCAAGCTTCTTATTTTTATTCAACATAAAATCTGGATGTACAAGTAACCAAGCTAGAGCATTTCCTTTGAGATTTTTCATAACCACTAAATTAGATTAAATCATCGTTCACAAACAGCGCTCGTCTTGAATTTTCCAGTACAGCTACAAAATGGTTCGTTTGGTTCCATAGCAAAGAATAGTTACCTTGATTCGGTGCATCCAACGATTGAAAGATTTCGTGTGGCTCCAGAATTTTCTCGTCCCAATTCATGAACTGGATCTCCACCTCCATGAGCAATGCGATTCAACACCGGTCGGGAAACTGGATGAACAGCGGTTGCAGCAGCATTCATTGCGTTGGAAACGGCGATACCTGCTCCAGATAATCCACCTTCGAGAATTGAATTACAAACGGATCCAGACTCTTCACTAGTAGCAGCAACAGCAATATTTCCTCTTGAACGTTCCAGAATTTCGAGAGTTTCCAATTCTTCAGAGGTTTTTAGGCTTCGAAGCAGCATGACTTTATCCCACTTCTGAACTGTAGCAATTTAATAAAATATGTCTTAAGGGTTTGAAGCTTTATTACTGAATGTCCTAACAATGTCAATATCTACTCTTCATCCCTCAGTCTGCCTACAATGATTATAAATTACTTTCGCTTTTAGGTACACTTTTATATTATGGCTGATGGTGACCGGCTAAACCTCTGCACGCTCAAAGAACAAAAAGTGATAAAAGGAAAAGGAACTGCTGGACAGTTGATAACACCGCGCAAAAAAGATTGAGAGTCTTTCACAAAAGTGCGTTTCATTGGCAAATCATCATTTGCGATTTTCTTCCTTGTAGTTGGATTTTATTTAAAAAATCAAATTAAGTCTAATCTAATCTAAAACTAATCAGTACCAAAACTTTTAATTACAATGCAAAACAGTTGTAAGACAAATAAAAAATGTTTTTGAAGATCTAATGCTGGAGCTCATTATGGAAGTTGAACGAAACGAATTATGTATGAGTTGCTTATATAAAAAAAAAGTCGATTCAATCGTCATTCAAAATTGGCCCCTTATTGCAATCAATTATATGTCATGCAATCCATCCTATAGTTAGAGCAAGGTTTCCAATCCCTGATTTCATTTATGGCACTTTTTAAACTCTATCGCCGCCTACCGTCCGAAGCAGGAAACGTTACAGCACGCAGGCGCATAGCATTCACCATCAAACCGATACCCACCACACTCGCTAAACTCCCCTCAAAACATTGCACGCATTAAATTTCGCCCGCAACACTTCCACCACCCACAGCACGGTGCAGCATAAACAACATATCACCCGTTTCACTCACTCCGCGTATGCTTGCTTGGGTACCGCCATCGTTCCATCGCGCCTCACCACCAGTAGGTATTTGACACATTTACGAGGTAAATTTTTCACGCAGCACTTTTCTCACCCTTCACTGCTCACTGCTCGCACACGTTAAAGTGACACTCTCTCACACATTTCCACCATATTTTTCTCCGCCACAGACAGACGACCGGAGGTTTTTCCTCTGTCCCAACTCAGTCACTGACTGACTGCGGATTGGGAATCTCGTGTGTGTGATGTTTTTGGTGCCTGCTTAGGAAGGACTTCTTGATTGACAAAGTGCTTGTGCTGTTCCTTCCCGAGAAGTGGTGAAGATAGCGAGGGTCGAGTGAAGATAAATCCACCGAATACCAGAAGGCGGATTATGCGAAGCATTGAGCAATTCTGGTGAAAATGTGCTAGACGAAAAAAATAAATATAAGAAGCAGAAATAAAACACCAGACGGTCAACGACGGTGTGGTGGCAGAGCAGCGAACAGAAGAAAAAAAAAACCGCTTTTCTTTTTCGGTCTACCGTAAGCCGAGTGAAACCCCCATACACGACCCAGCCGTGTCAAATATTTTCATCCCGGTTGAGCATCTGCCGAGTGTGTCCCGCACACGTACGTCCGCGAAAGTGGTGTGTCTGTGAAAATCAGTGCTGAAATAAACTAACGTGAAATATCTCGGGACTATCCCGAACCCGGGGTCTCGCTGTGAAAAGCAAGGTGAATTGATTTTTTTTCTTCTGTATAATGGAAAATCCATTACTGCCAGGAGCCATAGGGGTGATATGAAGTGTCGTGAGGATCTATTGGTAGCTTTTGACAGACGTGGTTGGATGTGTATATGTAGAACCGTGGAGGAAGTGCCTCATTTTGTCTGTTCCAACTTCGCTGATAAGAAGGATTGGGTTTATTGATCATTTTTTGGTTCTTTCTGCTTTTCCATATGATTCGTTGATATGTCTGTGCATTTTTTTTGTTTTCCCCTTCTTTTGTTTGACTTTTCGGAGTTGACTTTTCCGGAGAGGGGTAGTGTGATACCATAAATGGATGAAATTGATGCGGTTATAGCAGCAGTTTCCAATACAGATGACAATCCTTTCCAGCTGTTTGGCTGAAGGACGAAAATGCAAGTGAGTGATTTAAATGGGTCGAGCGATTGTTAAAAATAGAAATTTAATGTTAGCAGCAAAACATACGTCAAAATTCAACCTGTAATGATGTTTATCAGTTCAAGAGAAAGTGGGCAACGGAACAACCATGCGCAGTGGCTGACACATAATCACATTGTTTTGATTCGCGTTTTCTCGTTTTCCAAACAGAACAACTTGTGTCAATACAGCGCGGTACAAATTTCCAAAAAAGTTGAAAACATCAATCATAAATTTGTTTTGGGTGAACTCAAAACATTTTTACATCACTGACTTCGGTGAAATATTTTACTGAAGTTTCGGTAAACAAAGCGTTCCATTACTGAGTTCGGTAACAGTCACCATATTGTGATTTTTGATCGACTTTAAAAACGTTCTTGTTTGTGAAAAATAAAAAGGTGAAATTATGGAGACTGTAATGCCACACCAAGATGAGCGAATCGTAGATATTTTCTGTAAGTAATTAATTTTCGTTATCTAAATAAATAACGATTACAGATGGTCGATGTTGTTGCTTGTTTTGACGTAGAACTACGTCTTTGTCGACTATACTGGGGTGCAAATCAAAAAATATGTGTGGTGAAGGAGTGTTAGGTTTTGAACGCTTGTAACTTTGTCATTTATAGATGAAATTTAAATCCATATACGCCAATCGATAGAATATTACATTACAAACCTGCTGAAATAGACATTTTTTCCCATTTTTCTGTAATTAAACTTTTGAAAATGTACAAATTATAATTTTATCACTGTTTTCATGAAATAAGGCTTTTTTCCCAAACCCAGTCATCATAAACGAATACCACTTGGTTGCACATCATTCTGCTTGAACCTGAAAATATATAAATCAGCGCTGCTCTCCTGCCTCTGCTCATTACCGCTTCGGACGGCGTGGCACTAGGTCCTGCAGCAAGCAGGACCAAGTCAGCTGCCAAAGGTGGATCATGGCGTGTCCACCACAATGAGGAATGAGACTTGAAAAAACGTGCACGTAAAACCCCCTCTCCCTTAAAAACCTCTCCCCCTCCCCCTTAACATAACTCTAAAAAGACATGGAGTTTGACGATCACTTTTTTTCCGGGAAATAAATTTTAAACAAACCACAATTATTAGTAAAAACAGAAGTTTTTCCCATAATTTCTTCCCGCACCAATACTTTCAAATTTAAGAAAAAAAAAATTGATTGAAAGACATATTCGATGATATTATGTTGGTGAATTACACAACTGACTGTAAAACATATCTGGTACCTCTATACATGAAATTATATTAAAATCCAAAGTCCATCCTTTTTTTCCATATTCTGCACAAAAGAAACGTTCTGCCCCGCCCCCATTCATAATAAAATGACGGGAAATCCTGTCAGTTGCGGGGCTTAGAAAGTATGTGTTCCGTCGAGCGGTGACGGTTCTTCCTTAACTGAGAAACATTTCATGTTCCATGCAACGCTTTTATTTCATGCAACGTGACGATCAAAACTGCGACTAACTACACTAAAAAGGTTGTGCTATGATCCAACTTGATTTTTCTACTGCTATACTATAGTGCGCGCTTGTGTTGGTGCAAGCGCTACTCGCATCTGTCAACAAACAGGTTTCGGCTACCTGATACCAATTTTATTACACCGTGAAGCGTATGTAAAAAAGGAGGGACTTCGGATGTATTTTTTCTGGAGGACGTCGGATGTTAACCTAAATGCATATATCATGCATCATAGATAGAAATAGATAGATAGGTTCTACGTCATACTGCGGTCGTGTCTAGGACACAACCCATTAATTTTTTTTTTCTGTTGGTCCAAGTTCCATTGCCGTTGGCGACTCTGAAAACAGCATTTGGAATCTTCATCCAATGCTTCCCTGTTATCAGTGTAGCGCCGAATCCTTCCGACAAAAACCTGTTTTTGTTCATTGGTGGAGTAATTTGCAACATTAACACATTGATCACGACTGCAGCCAAATTTGTGCATGGGTTGCAGTGACCGCCACCTTGATACAATATTAACGCAAATTACAGTTGTGTCGGTTACCTTTTTAAAAAATTAAAGATCTCTCGGTAATTTTCGATTTGCATATCGTCCTCAAAATTACAGTTCTCCGGTAAAGTCGACTACAAATCAAGCAATGCACATCGGTAAACGTTACCGATAAATTTGACAACTAATTTTGCTGATCCAGTTTAAAGATTTTTTGGTAATGTTCTCGATTACCGAAAACATTACTGGCTATTGAGAATTCGGTAAATGAATTACCAAAGTCGGTGATTTCTTCTAACTCTGATTTTTTTTTAAAAGGTTACCAACTCAACTGTAATTTGTGTTAATATTGTTTCAAGCTGGCGGTCACGATCACGGTCGCGGCAGTCATGATCAATGTGTTGATGTTGCAAATTGCTCCACCAATGAACAAAAACAAGTTTTTGTTCGTCTTCAACGGGAATGGAACTTGGACCGACAGAAAAATCCAACAACAACATCGGCCATTATTTAGATAACGAAAATTAATTACTTACGGAAAATATCTACGATTCGCTCATCTTGGTGTTGCATTACAGCCTCCATAATTTCACCTTTTTATTTTCACAAACACGTACGTTTTTAAAGTCGGTCAAAAATCACAATATGGTGCATTTGACGTTTTCAAAGACCGTTACCGAACTCAGTATTTAATGAAACGCTTTGTAATTTTTAGCATTGCCGATCTAAGACGTTAATTTTTTATTTTCCGGAGTGCTCTGTTTAAGTGTGTAGGACGGATAATAGATCCAAAACCCCATCATAAACCATTTGCAATGATGCTTTGTAAATAACATTAGCAAAGCGTTTTACATTACAAAAAATGTTGGTTGGGATGTTGTTTTCATCGGCAACGAAGTCGCAAGTGTACATATTTAAAAAAAAAGCTTTGCTAACCCCGAGAGAAGGCTGGTCGCTTGTAGCACAGAAAGGATCCTTCACAGTTTTCCGAATGGAGTTGACTTTAGCTTCAGCGAAAAAATAATCATTTGGGAGTTGGGAGGATATGCTATACTAATATCAGCATGAAGCATTAGTGTGTTAATTTATTAGCTAGAGAAAGTTCTGAAGAGGATTGATTAATAGTTTTGTCAGAGTACGGCAGCGTGAAGCATGCACAGAAGTTGAAATTGAGCGAAGGACCATTAATGCGACAATACTAATCAAATGCGCACTTTTTCGCTCCTTTGCTAGAACTAGTCCACAGCCGCAGACAGTATATGAGCAAGTCAAACGCGCACTCTTTTGCCTGTGGATTTGAGGAAATTGAGGTGTCAAGTGAGCTAGGCAAAGGTGTGCGCATTTGAATAGTATTGTCGCATTAATGGCCCTTCGCTTAATTTTAACTTCTGTTCAATTTTCACACTGCCGTACTTTAACAGAACTATCAATCTATCCTCTTCAGAAGTTTCTCAAGCTAACAAATTAACACACTAAAGCTTCATGTTGATATTAGTATAGCATTTTCTCCCAACTCTGAAATCGTAAACTTCACGTGTAAAGTAACAAACACTTTCGTTGAATATAATCTTTTGGATTTATTTAAGGTAGGGGAAATGTATGTAATGTCGGCCTAAATGTCCCTAATTTGAGCCCATACATAAATTCAGTAATTGACTAAATTTTCAATAGCGACCAAACATATCCATTAGTACCGTTCCAATGACGCGTTCATCTAGATAAAATTGATAAATAGCAGATTTTTAGCGATGGGCCCAATCTTAGATCCATTTCCCCTAATTTTGTTTCTTACTCGAGCTAGTATCAAGGAAGCAAGTATCTTTTTTAATGCAAACATTACTATGATAAAGAGCTTTGAGTGTGTTGGTTTATTTCCTTTAAATTCCGTGCCATCAGTGCCAAATACTCAACACCACTGAAAAATCCATCTTTTATCTACGAGTTATATACTGAAAGGTACCAAAAATCAGCAGGTATCCACTGCCATGTCACAATTTACATAAACAGGTACCTAAATTTAGTCTCCAACAGGTAGATGCATGTTACTATGAGTGGTTTTAGGTAGCATGCTTAAGAGTCTCGAGTATCCATTTCCTTGATCTCTATTATGCAATGTTGATGCAAACTTTCTGCTACGTCTAGTTTCCAAGGCAAAGATACACTCCGTAGGATATTAATGTTATCCTTTGTCAAATTGTGCTCCTTTGTAAAGACATGTTTTGCAACCTAGGATTAAAATTAATTATGAAGTTCTTTATCCATCTCTTTGTTAGCCTTTTTACCTATGCGATGTGTTCCTTAAACCTTGTTTCCAATGTAAAAGGGCCAATGTAGATTTTATTGCAATCTGGACAAGAGATTTTGTAGACTCCGGCTTTCCCTTAGATATTTATTGAATCTTTTGTTGATAAAGGGTGATACGGTCAAAATTTGGTCAAGTAAATCGGTGAAATCGTTTATTTAAAAAATCAAATTAAATTTCTTTTTCAAGTTCAATTAGTATAAAATTCAGGAAAAATATTCAGTTAGGCTTCCGCTTTTCCAAATCCGAATTGCCGGGCCTTACGCTTGACCCCTGCCATCAGATTTTGTACAGC